TACATTACAAAATCTATGTTAATGTCTAATGAAGATAAACCATCCACAGTGTACTACAAAAAACATATTCCAGCTACCAACTATGATAACGTTGAGCATATTTTGAGAGTGTTAAATGGTATCGGAGAGAACTTGAAATTTCGCTATGATGAAATAACAAAATTTGTGTCCATTTCGGTATTGAATAAAAATATAACATCCGTAAAATTATCACCCAAATTAAGTTTACAGCTAGGTTATGAACCAAATAAAAATCTCCTAGAGAGAAATTTTGGAAAGTGTCCTGCTAATTTACACTTAGGGTTACCATCTCAACTATTTCTATATTGCGACATTATCGATCCTCAGATTGTGGGTGATGTTATGACTCCTTTATTAAGAGTAATTTCATTAGATCCTACAAAATACATTTATGGTGCAAATAAAATGCACGTTTTCTCTCAACCTCACTACTTACCTGTTATGCGAAGAGAGTTCTATACGCTGGAAATAGTTATAAGATCGAGTACAGGACAAAAAATACCATTCCAGTTTGGAACCGTGTGTATTAAACTACATTTCCGAAAATTATAATAATGAATTCTCTTCGTGATCATTATAAATGTCCATATGAAAATTATTATACACATCAAGCTGGATCAGGAGTTGGAGTAATTTATAAGGGTTCACCATATCAACGCGGTCATGGTATTGGGAGCTTCTTAGGGGGGTTATTCAGATCAGTTTTACCTTTACTTTCAAGTGGTGCTCGAGTGATTGGTAAGGAGGCATTAAGCGCTGGAGTAGGACTTTTATCGGATATGGTTCAAGCCCGTCCTATGGAAGCCTCAATAAAAGATCGTCTAAAGCAAGTTAGTACGAATTTAAAACGAAAGGCTGATGAGAAAATTGATCAATTTAACATGACTGGATCTGGGTATAAAACTAAAAGAAAACGATGGACATCGTTCATTCCACCATTAACTGCTAAAGTGAAAGCTGCGAAAAAACTTTGTCTAAAACCAAAAAATATCAAAGATATATTTTCAAACTAAATATGTCTTTCCTTCATAATCATTCTTGCGAGTGCGTTAAGTCAGAATTGGATTTGTTTGCACTACCGTCTACACAAACTAGCATTGAAAATGGATTGTGGATTCATTATAAACCAATTTCATCTCTTGGTGATGATGGACCTATCGAGTTTCAAGTTCCTGGGACCGGCGATGACTACATAGATTTGTCTCATACATTACTCCACATAAAGGCAAAAGTATTAAATCAAGATTCAACTAACTTGGTATCTACTACAATAGTAGCACCTGTAAATAATTGGCTGCATTCACTTTTTAGTCAACTTGATGTTTATTTAAACCAAAAACTTGTATCACCACCTAATAATACCTATGCATATCGAGCATACATGGAAACCCTTTTAAACTATGCCCCTGCTGCTAAACAATCTCATCTTACTTGTAGTCTTTGGTATGAGGATACAGCAGGAAAAATGGATTCTACAGATGGTAAAAACATAGGATTTGTTAAAAGACAGGAATTGATTAGTGAAAGTAAGGAAATAGAAATGATTGGTCATCTTCACGGTGACATTTTTAACAAAGATAAATTTTTAATTAATGGTGTTGAAATGAGTGTTAAATTGGTTCGATCAAGAGAGAGTTTTAATTTAATTGTTGGGTCAAACGATGTAAAGTTTAAAGTTTGTATTACGGACGCAACTCTTATTGTTCGACGAGCACGAATTAATCCAAGTATATTACTCGCACATCAAAAAGTTTTAGCTTCTACCACTGCTAAATATCCTATTACTCGAGCTGAAGTAAAAGTTTTAACAATTCCTTCGGGTGTTCAAGGAAAAACTCTTGATAATATATTTTTAGGACAGGTACCGAAAAGATGTATAATTGGATTTGTGAACAATTCTGCATTTAATGGTTCCCTTACTAAAAATCCATTTAACTTTGAAAACTATGGTATTAATTCTTTCAGCTTATATATTGATGGTCAACAAATACCTTCAAAAGCTTTGCAACCATCTTTTAATAATAGCATATTTACATCAGTATATCATACTCTATTCTCGGGAACTGGTATTCACTTTCTTAATGAAGGAAATGGAATCTCTTGTGAACAGTATGGCAAAGGTTACTGTCTATTAGCATTTGACTTAACTCCTGATTTATCAGCTAACTCATCAACTCATTGGAATCTCATAAAGCATGGTAGTGTAAGAATAGAAGTACGATTTGAATCCTCATTAATACAAACAATTAACTGTATAGTTTATGCTGAGTTTGATAATATTATTGAGATAGATAAAAACAGAAATGTTACTGTAGACTATAGTAGTTAAGGTTATAATATGTGTTGTGTGTTAGATTTTATGTGTTATGTGTAATGCATTTTGTGTGTATGTAACTATGTGAAACGTTATAAAATTAAATAAAACAAATTGTATGCAATATATTTTTTTTTATTTCTTTATAAATCTTCTATTTAATCTAATACAAAACACTGTTCGAGTTGAAATTTTACATAAGCACACTGACTAAACCACTGAACATGCTGCTGCCAAGGATCATCATCATCTTCCCAATCTTTTAAACCACCACCACAATGGAAACACTTGGTCCCGTCTGCATGGCCAGTATAAAAGAAACCAGCTTCTGCAAGATCTTCAGGTTTCTGTCGCATAACGAGAGGCCAGTTTTCGAAACTAAGCAAACGGCTAGATTTTGAACTGAAGAATGAATATTCAGCTCTTGAGTACTGCATACTCTTCTCGTTTTGTTCTCCACTCAGTGTTGTAGTTTTGTTATTCAATGATGTGTTTTGTACACGTATGCCACACTCATCGTTTCCTTCCGCTCTTGTCTTCCTGTAATTGAAGTAAACAGAATCACATTCACTAATGATCAGCTAATGACTGTCATTGTTAAAAAAGTATTTTTTAACTTTTTTAATTTTTGCTATTGTCTTTGTTATATTGTATACGAGGGCGTTTGTGTTGTCGTAGATGCTATCCTTATTAGTCTTTACGTAATATTTAATTCTCGTGGAAGCACGTTTCCAATGATCAGTAGTTGGAATCTTGGATAGCTTCTTCATATCGTACATTTCAATTTTGATGAGATGCGTCGCTTGGTCTCCGTCGTCAGAATTAGTAGAAATGTATGATACACCATCTCTAGCGGCTCGTGCTACGGTTGATGATAACAGCTTCCTCTTTTTTATTTTTTATTCAGCTTCAAAAAAATGATCAATCGATTGCGATTTTCTTTTTCCACCATCGCATGTGTTATTATTAATGATCACATCACTCTCTTCTTGAGGGGAGAGTGGCGAGTAGTAATACTGTTTATAGGTATTTTCATCGAAGCTCAATGATTTCTGCAACAACACAGTTATCATGTTAATATCAATTTGTTAACACTTAATCATAAAAGTTAAAAAAGTTAAAGTTACAGCCTATTAAAGTCCACTGCTGAACATAGGCCTCCACTCATTTCTGAGAGGGTTTTAGGGCAAGGAAATGTCCGCCGCGCTGCCTCAATGTGTGTTGGCGAACTTCACATGCCTTCGAAATTTTCTCAGACATGCAGGTTTCCTCACGATGTTTTCCTTCACCACCAAGCACGTGGTAATAAGCACTTAAAATTGCGATTAACAATTTAATTGGTGCTGGCGGGGATCGAACCCGGGTCGCGTACTATGAAATTTACAGCTAGCGCTAACCATCTAAGTTACCACGGCTTAATCATATACATACACAATATTTAAATAAAATAATACACACGCATGAAAATAACAGAAAAAAAGTAATTTAGTCAATAGAATAAACACTTACATCCATAGCCTTTGGTGCATTGAAGTAACACAAATGTACTATTGATAGATCCACTGCAGTCAAACGACCATACACTAACTCGATGACTGCGTCTGTTGGTCTTATATACCACCAGTGTGCCTAGTGCGAGTTCCACAAAATAATTCGAATGACTTCACCATCGCGTTAACCGAGTTAACGTCATACCTATCGACAAGTGAAGACAAGCGAGTGTGTGTTACAATCTAAGCAAACTGTAATGAGGGTACATTAAATATATAAGTGATTGATTGTAAAAGGCTTGTCGAACAGTCACGAATAAACCGTCAATCCGCTTACCCGTGTCTTATTTACTTATTTACGAAATACACTACAGTGGCGACGAGGATCAAGTCGTTTTTATTTTTTCGGTAAATTTACGTGGACGCATATTAAATATAATGTCGATCGGCAAAGTGAGTGAATTCAACGTCAAAACGGGAAACTGGACTTTATATGTTGAGAGACTAGAAATGTACCTTAAGGTAAATGCAGTGAAAAACGAAATGTGGTTGCCAACATTAATCGCCGGTATGGGAGACGAAGCGTACGAATTATTAAGTAATTTAACAAGTCCGATTAAACCGGGAGATAAATCGTATCAAGAAGTGGTAAAAATACTTCAGGAACATCTTCAACCGAAACCCTCGTTCATGGCGGAGCGATATCGTTTTCGACAAAGAAGACAGTTGAGCGGAGAAACGATTCCGCAGTATATAACCGAACTTAAGAAATTGTCGAAATACTGCGAGTTTCATTCAACTCTAGAGGACAATTTAAGGGATCAATTGGTGTGTGGGCTAAGAAGTGATGTCATCCGTCAACGATTATTCGCAGAAGATAATCTGAAATATTCCGTAGCTGTGAGAATAGCTTGCGCTTTAGAGGCGGCGGAGCGGGATTCGGCCGCGGTGGAGCAGGCGGGCGACGGCGACGGGCTCGGCGGTAGCGGCGCGGACAGCGCCTTGCATGCGGTGACGTCATCGACAAGCCGCGCTCGAACGCGGGAGCAGGACAGCGCACCGAGGGCTTTTAAAGGTCGAGAACATGGCGGCGGCAATGCGCTATATTGTAGCGCGTGCGGGTCGAGGTACCACCGAAGTGATGATTGCCGCTATAAGAAATTCGTGTGTGGTCAATGCAAACAGAGCGGTCATCTACGCCGGGTATGTCCCAAACGAGGGGGGTACACGGGAAATGCGGGCTCCCGACGCCACATGTACCATGTGGAGGCGGCAGAGTGCGAGACACCGTCAGCGGACGACGAGCCACCATCCGTGGAAAGTCAAACGGAGTTACAGGAGGATCTACACCATCTATGTTTAAATAGCTATAAACCGGTGAGCCTAACATTATTATTAGACGGATTTAAACTTAATATGGAAATTGATACCGGGTCGGCAGTGTCTTGTATAAGTAAAGCGACTTATAATAAATATTTTTACACTAGACCCATGGACAAGTTCGATCTGGTTCTAAAATTTTATGATGGAAGTCGAATCAAACCTTTAGGCATCATCAAGCCCGAAGTTAGATATGGAAATATAACAAAGCACTTAGAACTGTTTGTAATAGATGGGGGCACGACTTCATTGTTGGGTAGACAGTGGCTGTCGGAACTGCAGATTAAAATTCCGACATTCCACAGCATGGTGCTGGATGACCATTTTAGTAACAATAATTTGTCATTATTACTCGACAGATATAACAAGTTGTTTTCCGGCGGCTTGGGGCGGTTCGCGGGCGGCAAGGCGACGCTGCGAGTCCGGGAAGGGGCGACACCGGTGTTCTGCCGCGCACGACCTTTGCCCTACGCGCTCAAGGACCGCGTGGATGCTGAGCTGGATGCGATGCTTCGGGAGGGGGTTATTGAACCCGTGGAGAGCTCTGACTGGGCTACACCTCTGGTGCCGGTACGTAAGGCGGATGGAGGGCTCCGAATTTGTGCAGACTATAAAGTGACACTGAACCCCGTATTGCTGGTCGATAGATTTCCCTTGCCTAGGATTAATGATTTGTTAGTAGGTATGAATGGCGCTAAAATATTCTCTAAAATCGATCTGTCACAAGCCTACAATCAGATCGAACTAGATAACTCTAAAAACCTTACCGTTATAAATACACATAGGGGCTTATTTACGTATAACAGGCTAGTATATGGGTTGTCATCAAGTCCAGGAATTTTCCAGCGTATAATGTCAAATCTTTTTCACGATATCGAAAAGGTAGAAGTATTTTTAGACGATATAATAATAGGTTCTTCTAATGAAAGAGAGCATTTACAAATATTGGAGACGGTGCTTAGTAGATTACATAAAAACGGAATGAAGCTTAGGAAAGACAAATGTTTATTCATGGTGGACGAGGTCAAGTATTTAGGATATATTATTTCAAAAGATGGCATTAAAGTTGATCCTGACAAGGTAGCTGCTATAGTAAAAATTCCGCGCCCCAAGGACGTTTCGGACTTAAGATCATTTTTAGGATTAGTCAATTTTTACGCTAAGTTCATTAAAAATTTAAGTACTACCTTAGCCCCACTTTACGGCTTATTAAAAAAGGGTGTTACTTGGGACTGGGACAGAAGTTGCGAGGACTCTTTTAAAAAAATTAAAAAGGTCTTAACCAGTGCGGAAGTATTATTGCATTACGATCAAAACAAACCGTTAATACTGACGTGTGACGCGAGCGCTCGAGGTATAGGAGGCGTGCTCACTCAGCCGTGCGCCGGCGCAGCGGGAAGCGAGCGGCCGGTGGTCTATGTGTCGAGAGCTCTCAGCGACGCGGAGAAACATTATTCACAAATTGATCGCGAGGCTTTAGCAATTGTTTTTTGCTTAAAAAAATTGCATCAATACCTGTATGGTCGACGGTTCACCTTACGTACTGATCACAAGCCGCTTGTCAGTATTTTTGGCCCAAAACATGGCATTCCTTTAATGGCTGCGAGCCGATTGCAGCGTTGGGCGATTACGGTATCCGCTTACTCTTATGACATAGAGTACGTTAGTAGTAAACAGAACTGTGCGGATGGCTTATCTCGTCTACCGGTATCGGTTCAATCCACAAAGAAAGAATGTTTAGATTTACCTGAACAAACGTATTTACATTTCGCTCAAAGTGAAATGTTACTAGATTATAATGAAATTAAAAAACAAACCCAGCGCGATCCGATTTTAGGTAGAATTATACTATACTTAAGAGAAGATTGGCCCATCGATAATGAGGTCAAATCATTGCAACCGTATTTTAACCGAAAAAAGGAACTATACGAAGAACTAGGGTGTATCATGTGGGGTCATAGAGTAGTCATACCGGAGAATTGCAGGGGTAGGGTGTTAAACGAACTCCACGAATGCCACATGGGAATCGTCAAAACGAAGGCGGTAGCTCGAAGCTATGTGTGGTGGCCGGGGATCGATGAGGCAATCGAAACGATGTGTCGAGCGTGCGTCGTGTGTGCGGCCGAGGCGGACGCGCCCCAACGGCACACTCCAAGCCCGTGGCCATGGCCGGCTAAGCCTTGGTCTCGTATACACATAGATTTTTTAGGGCCAATTTTCAATAAAATTTACTTGGTAATAATTGATGCCAGAACTAAATGGCTAGAGGTTTTTTATGTACCGAGTACAGCAGCTAGCCACACTATAGTTAAACTTCCGAAGTTTTTGCTAGGTGGGGTCTACCTAAACAATTAGTATCAGACAATGGGCCGCCATTTATCAGTAGGGAATTTTCTCAGTTTTTAACAAATAATGGGATACAGCATGTTTTCACCGCACCGTACCACCCGGCTTCAAACGGTGCCGCGGAAAACGCAGTCCGCACTGTCAAGAAAGTTATTAAAAAGGCAGTGAGGGAAAATAAAGATATAAATTTATTTTTAAACACTTTCCTATTGCATTATCGAAATACCGAACATTGTACTACGGGCGAAAGTCCCGCTTCTCTCATGTTAGGAAGAAGATTACGTACTAAACTAGACGTACTTAGACCGGATATTGAGAATAAAATTATTAAAACTCAAATAAACCAGAAAGAGAACGCTCCCACTGGTGAACGTGGCCTGCAGCCGGGTGAGGATGTATGGCTTCGCCGATATCAGGGGAGTGACAAGTGGACAGCCGGACAAGTGACGCAACGTTTGGGCGTAACGGACTACAAAGTTTTAGACACTATAGGTAAGGAGTCACATAAGCATATAGACCAGCTAAAACGTAGAATTAGGAGTTCACTGATTTGTCCCCGTAGTAGTAATAGTCAGACAAATTCGAGTTCCGAGTCGTTGTCTTGCACCGGTGCAGAGGAAATTAATGCGCCTAGAATAAACCCTGCCGTAAAAGACACCGGGAGGAAATCAAAAGCACCGGAGGGAACCGAAATAATAGATAAGAGTGATTGCTTAGATACGGCAAGGGAAACGTCAACACTTCGTGCTCCATCAGCTCATACGTCGCCTGTGCCGCCCGCAACGCCGCCCCAGGTCTTCCGGCCGGTACGCAAGTGCCGTTTGGATAACCCCCCAAGCTATAAAGAGTAGTTACCATTGCACTATATTATTTTTATATACCTTTTTTTTTTAAATATTTTCAAGATTTTTTTTTCCTTTTCTGTATAACAGTATAGTATAAAATACTTATATATAACTAATTGTAAGTCTTAATTAAGGGGGGAGGATTGTAATGAGGGTACATTAAATATATAAGTGATTGATTGTAAAAGGCTTGTCGAACAGTCACGAATAAACCGTCAATCCGCTTACCCGTGTCTTATTTACTTATTTACGAAATACACTACACAAACCTTTCGATTCGCGTTTACTCACCGTGAATCGCGTTCGTTCCTTCTCTTATGTTGGTAACACGTGAGCATCGTGAGATAAACTAACCAAGTTTAGGATGACATATTTACTTAGTCGTCTTAATATTAGAAGCTGTCTATCAAAGTTGTGGTTATTATAGCATCTTTCATATACTTTGACAGTTTGTGTTTGTTGTGAACTTAGGATTTATTTATTTTAATTGAAAATATTAAATTATAATTATAAGTAAAAAAATAAGAAGACTAGTTCGTCCCAATTCGATTTGATGGTGACATTTATGGAGCAGTAAGTTGAATTTAATTTATTTAGTGTTTAGGGAACATATTAATATGTTGTTGTATATTTTGTAACTAAGTTTATTGGTTTTAGGCATGGAGATCTCAGCAAACCATCCAATAACAATAATGCAAGAGGTAGGATGGCTTGTATAAAAACTACAGTAAAGTAAATATTTAAAAAAGGCTGCTCGTCTACATAAAGCAGCTAGAGGTACTGGTGGTGGGCCTGCTACACATGTTAAATTGACAGATTTGGAACAAAGAGTCCTAAATCTGATTGGTGTACAAGTAGCTACGGGCTTGGCAGTTGAAGAGGCTGGGTTGTCACAGGTTACAACTTTAACTTAAATTAAACCACCTGCTAGTAGGTTATATTATCTCATAAATTGTATTTTCTTTCAGGGGACTTATGTTCAGGCTAATCCCACAGTGAATCTTGAACAAGGAATACTACCACAACCACATCAATCAGTAGAATGTAAGTAGCATATTATTAACAAATTATTAACAGTACATATTATATTATATTAACAATGTTTTATTTTTTATTTTAGGTACTTCACAACCTGCTTAGAAAAATATTGCCCCACAACTGCCACCAACACTGCCAAGGCCTATATCTTCACCATCTCTTGCCTTTGCAGAGGAAGTTCAAAGTAATATATAACTTACTTATTAGACAGTATAAAATCTTCAGGCTAGTAGTACTGAGTTTGTTCCGGGAATCAAACCCAAAAATTCTTGCTTGGCAGCAGCACTTGGAACCACTAAACCACGTATTGTGTGTGTGTGTAAGTCTTCTTTCTCCAAATAAATTAAAAGTAATAAAATATACATGAGCCACTCAATGTACACTCAAGTAGTTAAATATGAATAAATCTTACTTATAGATAAAAATTACATTAATTTTATAAATTTACAAGCCAACTTGTCTGTCTTTTTGGTTTTTGTACACAACTACTAAGTATATTGATTTTGTTGAGTTTCATTTATATTTTTCATATTTAAGGTTCTCAATCTTGGAACGACCCAGGGCCATCAACACAACCTCATGTTGCCTCAGCAAATACTGTGACATCTCCGCTTATTTCATTTGTGGAGGTACTAATGGAAAGTAAGATAGAACTAATTATTCATGAAGGTGATAATTTTTAAATAAATTTGAAATTATTACAGATACGGGCATGCTCACTCCAACTATGATCTCATCTCAAGTCCAAGAAAGTCAACCAGGGCCTGCTTTGTCGGGGCAAACTATACCTTGCCGTGCAAGACCAATTCGTACTCGAGGATCACCTCGAAGACGAGTGAGGCCACAACAAATGCTACAACTATTCTATTAATATAACTACAGCATAGTTCTACAAAATAATTTAGATTACTTTTCTGTTCTGTTTCAATGTTCTTGTAATTGTTAAATTGTTGTATTAAATTGTAATTGTAATTATTTAATTAAATTTGTGATAAAATTTAAGGCTGGTTATAAATAAAAGAAAGATTTAAGCTTATTCAAATTTATTTATTTAATCCCTATAGTAGCCTTCTTGCTAATTGATCTCTTATTCTACCTCTAATTAAATCAGAGGTAGCTTCTCTTACTGTGTAACTTATTTGATCAGATTCCACCATTCTCCTTTCAAATTGCAGACCTAAAAATAAATCATAATTAATACAAATATTAAGTTTACTATTTATAAGCTAGCTTAATATATTATAGTAATTCAATTTAAAATTAAGATACCTACCTATATTTTCCTCTATATCCTCAACACCAAAATTAATAATTATATTATGTAACACAGAGCATGCTAAACTAATGTGTGCACATTTTACGGGCTTGTAGTGCAAAACTCTATCCTTGTGCAGACGTCGCCATCGATTTTTCAGCCTTGAAAATGTGTTTTCAATAAAAACTCGAGCTCTCATGTGTTTTTCATTATAATTATTGGACTCAGTGTCTAAAAATGGTGTCATAAGCTATGGGCGTTGGGGATATCCAGAATCTCCTAGAGTTAAAATATACATGTTATTGTCAATAATATAGATAGAAATTATTTAGTAATGTTTTACTTAAAAATACTTCATATAACTCAAAACATCCCAATAAGTTATACTGTGGATATATTACCTAAAAGCCAGACAATTTCTCCATTTTGGTGCACAGATTGCACGTATGTGTTTAAATTACTGTTTTCCCATATAAAGGAATCATGATTTGCTTGGTATTCACATTTAAAATTCTATATTCATCATCACATACCTGAAAAGAAGACATTTTGTTTATTTTCTACCCCTTTTTAACCAAGGAATAATAAAAAATAAAAAACCATATTTTCTGTAAAAACTGAATTTTAAAATAAATATTAACCGAATCTAATGAATAATTTGCATAAGGTTGTTTAAAAATAAGCATATATTTATTACCATTGACTAACTGCTTGTCTAGCAGCTGGAGTATCAGGGAACCGAATATATTTATTTATTATATTTTTGTATGTCGGCTCCTGGGTAACTTCTTCTATGTACGCACTACACATTTTTTGAGACGTGTCCTTTGCAACCCCAACTGGCCTTTGGTAGGATCCAGTTGCAAAAAAGAATAGAGCAGTGAGCACCTGCAATTAAAAAGAGAACAAACTTATATTTAAACTTGCACTTGTTTTAAACTTGAGTTGCAAAAATATGAATACTTTAATGATCGATACATACTTTATGTTCCAAGGAAACGCGTTGAGAGGACCTAAGATTTGTCAAACTCCTTAGCTCTTTACACAAAAACTTGAAGACTTTCTTGGAAATGCGATATCTATCTTTAAACTGCTTCCCCGTGAGGTGTAACAAAGGGTTGAAAGATGCACGAGCTCTTCTTTCAACATTGGCGTTATAATTGCGGTCATCTTGTGCCTTAGCGGCTGCAAACATCCTCCATGCGAAAAAAAACGTCCTGCCATAATTAAATATTGTCAACGAAATAAAATTAAACCTTCAACAATCGTTCTCACTATGCTTTCTCACTGTCAAAATTTAGGTGAAAACTTTTTCGATATCGACGGCGTAAAGTTTGTTTATGTTACGTATTGAACGATCAAAATGTGCACTCGCACTCGCAAAATACTTGAAATAACCAATCACGTGCGTTTACGTTCTCACTGTCGAATGGGAGTGAATGATCGATGGTCGATATCGACGACGTAATAAACTCGCACTCATGAATTGTGATTCCGATTATTGCCACTAGTTGGCGTTGATTTTATTCCATACAAATTGCAGTAACTTTCTCGGTATCGAACGCGTAAAAAAACTCGCACTAGGCACACAGTACGTAAAAATTCTAATCTAAAGTATTTCCGTAATGTGTTGATAATTACTTTATGCGTCAACCAGTTTATCTCACATTTCCGTTGTCTATCTCAACATTTCTTCGTATTGTGTTTTGTTTGGTGATCAATGACTCAAGTACGATTTGTATAACACAAAAATGCAATTTAATATTTAGAAACATATCAGTTTATCTCACATTTCCGTTGCCTATCTCAACATTTCTTCGTATTGTGTTTTGTTTGGTGATCAATGACTCAAGTACGATTTGTATAACACAAAAATGCAATTTAATATTTAGAAATCACTATAATTGACCATTCCTATGTTATTCATTGAGTAGATTGGTACTGTAATAATCTACTAATAGCAGTAATATCATGGATACACTAGATGTACAACAACATCTGAAAAAGATTCACCCCAGTCTAGAAAATAATGTTTATGCAGCTAATAGACTGCCTATGTATACCCACGTACCAACGTATATAATATGCAATTTGGATACAGATGATAAACCAGGGTCACATTGGGTAGCTTTATATATCGATACGAATGACGTCGGTCAATATTTTGATTCATATGGACGATCACCTGTACGATATCATCTAGAGTTTTTAAAAAGGAATTGTAAAAGATGGAACTGGAATGTTGATAGGATTCAGAATGAGTGGACTTCAGTTTGTGGCGAATATTGCTTAATGTATTTGCTATATAAGTTTCAGGGATGTTCAATACATAGTTTTACGAGTATATTTACAAGGAACACATTGTACAACGATATTTTAGTGGATGAGATGTTTCGCTCCTATTTTATAGATAATAAGTAATAAGATTTTGTATTTTATAAATAAAAATTGTAACAAAATTATGTAATGTGTTTTATTGATGATTCAGATTAGCGTTGTATAATTAGGAACAAAGAAGTATAATACAATAGCACTGATATAGTCGACGCACACGCTGCAATGAAGGTGATTAATGAACAATAGAACAATAGAAATAGGAACAATGGGACGCTAATGACGGTGGAGGCCCTTACCGGATATCATTTAGATATTAGCTAATTGATCTGCACATCTCCGGGGAACCGTACATCCTACGCAAAAATGGACCGCAGATTCGTGATCAGAGCATGCCAAAACTTTTTTTTTTTAGGATCGTGTGTCGACGAAGGTCGTTGAACCACTTCTGACTCAGGTGGTCCAGAAGTGGTACAACTACACTACTAAAGTATCGTTTTGTCATATTTATTACTAATTGCTTGTTCAGTCGCTTAGCGACATACATAAGTAGTGGTTAACGAGCAATGTATTTACTACAAAATAGTACCGTCGCAGAGATATTTAAAAGCAAAAATAATGCATTAAGAGCAAAAAATATTTTACGATTAGTTGTTTTTCATGATTTTAAAGATAAAGATAGTAAAATACTTGTTCTTACATATGGTAAGTGATTCCATGATCTACAAAAATTTTGTTTTGGCTTCGGTTTTTACAAGAAACCATTGAACAACACGGCATTCTGATATTGTTTCACGATTACGGTTGAAAGTATACTTATACGCAGAGACGGCCGTTTGAATAGAACCTGAGCATTTTGATCATAACGTGCGGACACAGACACGCCCCCTTGCCACTTCTCCTCTATTTAATATTTCTATGATATATATATAAAGCCCTCCGTGAGCGCTACCACATACCAGACCGCCGTTCCTGCAGATGTGATGTAAGTGTAAGGCATCACCACCAATTGCATGATCAGCACGGCCAATTATACCGCTCACCTCAAAGGAATGGGGTCCCACGTTGCGCGGCTTTCGGCCGCAGCCTTGAGAGCCTCCTCAGATTCTCCCTCCAGCTACCACCCGCATTATGTCGGCACATATGCTCCACCAACCAATACAATGGCAGATATAGCTAATAGCCAGTTATAGGATAATAGTAATAATACGCCATCAGAAAGGGTTTGTGTCACTGACGTTGAGTATATGCGTTTCTCGATCATGTTTTTCTCACCCACCAACAAGTTGCCTTCAATCATTCAAAGGTGGAAACTTTACTGAAATATATTATTATGTCGTTATATAAAACATCATGGAGGTTAGACAGTCTGCAGCCCCGTAATGAAGGGACCCGACTTGGGCAAAGCTACTAAGGTTGTGAGTCAAACCAAGACGCAGAGAGCGCAATTGAGAATAGCAACCCGCCAAACAACCAACGCAGCGACGCAATGCTGCAGAACGCAACAAGCATCAATACGATTATCGTCGGGCTTACACCAGTCCAAGGTCCCCCATATAGTCCCAGCAGTGTTCACCACCCGTATACCTCCATCGACCAGAACCACAAGATGCATCGAATCAGGCGCAGCACACCCGCAGATCTATCACAAGACGCAATACTGCAAGTAGCAGTAAGCATCAATGCAGCCATCATACGGATGGCGCCCCCTCACAACACACCCACATGATCCCTATCGACTTTGGTAACAAATTGATAATGTTGTTAACTAAAAATACCACCAACGTATCATAGTAGCACGCTACCAAGACGTCAGTAGCCAAAGCTCTACGTATATAACGCTATTGCACTAAAACATGGAGTTGGGTATTCTTGCTGCACTTAAAATTACTACAAAACACACTCATCCTAATCCGAAAGATAGCCGACGATGCAGCCGACTTATCTCGCTATGCGCTAAGACACCGCCCACAAACGGTAGGGGTGTGCGATGTCCACGGGCAAGTCAAATTGCTACAACATACCTGCTTACCACTAAGATAATATATCTAGGACACATCGGTTAGCGAGTTCAAGTTTACCTCGGTCTCGGACGCTGTGAAGCAATCTACACACCACTTAATAATCCTTTTCAAGTCCCATTTCTTTCAATATAATGCCTTTACATATTTAAGACCTTCCACATATTTTCTTTATTTCATAGACCTTACTATTATATGTCTTATACATATGGGACTTCAAGTCATAGCTCTGCTATCATAATGCTTATACATCATAGAGACCTTCTTTTTAATGCTTTAGATCCATAGACCTTACTATCAAAGTCCCTAATATGTATAGGATTGTGCAACAGTACTATGTAGCAGTCGGTCACTCGACCATCCCATATATGTATGTCCCATTTATTTCAATGTAATGCTTTTTAAGACTTTTTTTTATAGAATAAGTGTGACAACGAGCATAAAGTCCACCTGATGGGAAGTGGTTGCTGTAGCCCATAGACATCTACATCTATCCACGAGTACAAATCAAAATGCAGATGCGTTGTCACCCGTGATTACTCAGATGAAATGACTCTGTTCTAGTAAAACGGGTTTCCGGTTCTCTACACTCACCATACGAAACACAGCAGCGTTAAATTGCTATTTTACGTTGGTATTCTGTGAGAGCGTGGTCCTTCCCCGGTCGAGCCAACTCATTTGTGCTACAACTGTACCACTAATATAACTGCAGCATGGCTCTACCACGTACAAAAACCTTCCACATATTTGCTTTATTTCATAGACCATACTATTACATATCTTATACATATGGGACGTCATAACTCTACTATCATAATGCTTATGCATCATAGACACTTCTATTTACTGCTTTTGTATCATAGACATTATTATCATAAGTCCCTAATAAGGACTAGTCCTTGTGCAACAGTATTAGTAGCAGTCGGTCAGCCGACCACCCCATATATATGTACACCCATGAGTATATGTCTCCGACAATGCCCTTCATATCAGCAATCATTACATGAACACACTCCAGTAATACAAGATCACCCTCATTAACTTAAGAAAATTTTTGACCTATTTTTTTATTTTATATTACAAATGTTATTTATCTTTATTATTGCAATATAATCGACTTGTATTTGTATTATTTAATACATTTTGAATATTTTAAGCAGAGTTTTTATTAGATTTAGAGATTTTTAAAGACAATATTATGCGTTTACAATATTCAACAATATATGTAGTATACTACATATATTGTTGAATATTCGAAATGAATATATTTAAACTTTATGCTTATTAATGCATTTTAATTGTTTAAAATATAATTTCTATGATATTTTTAAATGTCTTTATATTAAATTTAATTATTATTTATTAATAATAATTAAGAGCCGTCACACTGCCATTTCTATTTTTATGGTATGAATAAAAGGAAATGAAAAAAAAAACAAATTTGTAAAATGGTAGGTATAAAACGACAAATATTTTATTTCAACGCATGGAACATAAAAAAATTATTACAATAATAATAAAATATTCAAATCATCAGTATTACTTATTATCATATCTTGTTATTAATATTACGGCCAAACGTCAACTATCACACGATTATTTGTGACATACAAATTTATGTACGTTCCAATCGGCAGACTGCAAAAGAAGAAAAAATACATCAGGTAATTGTCGAAAAATATTTTAGATTTCACTGTCGTATAGTACTGACATAATATAACTTATAATTTATTTTATTACAATGATGAAATAAAAAAAAAACTAAATGACTTCTTTCTTTGTTACTGGCTAAAAAAGAATATGAAATTCAATAAAACTCACATTCTTATAAACATTCATCATTACAACCTTTCAAAAGTCTACTGTTGAACAAAGGGTTCTTCCTAGGAATGCCACAAAGCACGATCTGAGCCACCTGTAGTTATTGGCGGGAGTAAGCAGGTCCGGATTAACCATGTCGGGGCCCTTAGGCAATGGAATTCTCGGGGCCCCTTTGCAGCCAGCATAAAGGGATGGAACGTATCCATATTATTAGTTCTACTATTCGATACTAGATGGTTTTGTTCTGTAAGGATGAAATAATCAACTGACATGTGCGTCGCTAAAACGTAATAATACCTATTGTCACTGAGGTTACAAATTTTCCAATAAAATTTTCTCTGTATGAAACACTTTCCATTATATTTGTGCGCGCACGGGGCCCCTACCCGATGCGTGGCCCCTAGGCAGTTGCCTAAAGGTTAATCCGGCCCTGGGAGTAAGTAAATAATAATGGAGCAAGTAAACGAATTTTAGTAACCCTCAATGTTTCCTTTATTAAGAAATCTGAAGGATGAGACCAAGATTAGATTATATTACCTAGAATATTATTTTATAATGCTAATGAATAAGGGGTATAAAATATTTTTAGAGCAAACAAAATGGTTAAATAGTAATTTAAAAAAAAACCAACTGCGTAAAAGAGTTTACTAAAAATATTAAAATTTTCATTCTTCAACACTTCCACAGTTAAGATGAATCTAACGACAGTCCATATATTAAAGTCTATCAAAGTCTAAGAAATAGCTTTCACGCATACATACATAAATACGGTAAAATATAACCCCCCCCCCCTTCTCGAACAGTTGGGTACAACCTCCAGAAATTAAAATTCATACATTAAAATCTTTTGCTTGTTCAATTCTACAATGATAGCGTGGTGAATTAGTGGATGTCTGATTACTATTGAGTGTTCAGCCTTATGATCAATTTTCAGTCGTAAACACCAAATGTTTAGATAAATAAATTTTATTTAGGATCGTCCATGTTTTTCAATAAATAAATCTAAGTTTTTCTTTGGTTTTATTAAATAAGTGTATGCAGTTATGTCATAGGATACTATTAACTTTATATTATAAGTCCTGTAAAGTGAACTCGGCGAAGAACGGCATACTAAATTAAAAAAAATACAAATGGTCTTAGTTTGCATATTCTATTAGCTTAAATTTAAATTTGGTTAAACTACATAATAATATATTTAGTTGATCTGACAATAAATATGTCGAAATGACAAAAAAACTACCGGTTCAGAAAATAAACAACATTTTTGAAAACACAGTGAAATAGACGGATTTGGCTCCCATTCCCATATCGGTTAAGACCGTTTAGTGGCGATTTTCCCTAGTTAGCGGTAGTTGGCGTAGTTACAGATACGAATGCCTGTGTGAATGAATGTGTATACGAATACTAGTTCCTGTAAAAACTTAATATTTGTACCCTAACTCTTTTAGAAATAAGGTTTTATTTCGCTTATTTCACGGGATGCTGCATGTGTCGGGTAAGACCGGCATACTTTGCAGTTCCAGGGGTGCAAAACCTTGAATAATAACCAATGCTTTTAAAAATCAATAGTTGTAATTGCTAAATTAAATCAAAAATATTTTTGTATTCTACTCCGTATTAAAACGATGAGATCCAAAAATCGTAGGAAAGTAATAACCTAAGAATCTATTCTTAAATAAAGGCTTAATAAGACACCAAAGGATGACGATTTCTGTAAGTGGCGTAGACCGGCACATGACATTTATTACCCTCCAAGACCTAGACGGACTTCCCCGAAACATATTTTGAGGTTAGTTTTTATTTTCATCAAGCATAACTTAGTAAAAAACGTGTTTAATACTAATGTATTTACTTATCAAATAGATATCTTAATGAAGAATAAACTTACTTCCATAGATCTGTCAAATAATTGAGATCTAAACACTTATAACTTTTTTTGTTAGAACGTGGTACACTCCCAATGCAAGGTGCTCACCGTACTAAATAAACAACTGCACTTTTTCCGTTAATACTACATATACCGCCATCTGTGTCAATTGATAAGAGCTAAAATGGTTTTATTGTTTCGCTGATTGTATTGACATCTTCGTAGTTCTGTTGAATTCGTTATAATTCCTGTTGTACGATCTTTCCCGATAGACGGTCTTCGCCTAGTTGACCTTACAGTTTATATTGTTTACTAGCTGTTCCCCGCGACTTCGTTCGCGTGTTAGGGTTTTTATGTCTTTGCGCGGAACCCTAATTCTTTTTCTAAAATAAAAGTAGCCTAAGTTACTCCTTATGAAATCAGCTATCTGCCAGTGAAAGTCCCGTCAAAATCGGTCCAGCCGTTTCGGAGATTACCCGGAACAAACAGACAGACAGACAGACAGACAAAAATTTTAAAAATTGTATTTTAGTTATAGGTACCGTATTTACTTTCATATGCATTTAGTAAAAAAACTGTAATTTTGACATTACAAACAGACACTTCAATTTTATTTATTTGTATAGATTTAATAAATTACTTTCTTAGAAGCCAAACTAATGTTATGTCATAGGATACTATTTACATTATGTTATAAGACCTGTATAGTTTATATTGTTTATTTACTTAAAAGCTAAATTACTTTCTTATAAGCCAAACGAATGTTATGTCATAGGATACTATTTACTTTATAATAAATCATATTGTTTACTTCCTTAGAAGCCACACTAATTCGATTGTAATATTATATGCTAATGTTTATAGTTTGCCATAAGTTAAGCATAATACCAAGAACAGTGTTGTTCCCTTGTGTTTGCCCCATCTCCTAGCTTCTTACACTATTTAAACCAAATCTTTCGATCCATCAATACAATTCCATTACCAAGTTCTCTGTATCACCTGCGTTATTTTAAGTTAGTTCAAATGTATTAAATTAATTTATTTTTAAAAGAGTTTTTGTCTCTGCCACATAACAAATTTGGCTCAGTTGGTTCCTAATGACTGCGCTAAATTTGTTACGCCAATCTTGCGTGATTAATTTGCCTATCGCTTAAAGACGAAGTAAAAACGTACCAAATTCGACGGGACAGCATCGCCTAACAAGAAGACAACGTACGGTAGCTATAGGCTTTGAAGAACTTCGCCAACCATGCAGCTCCACATTTTATTGTTACTGTGGTAAGTGGCCAAAGTTGTACTATTTTTCCATTTTTATCAAAATATTTTCCTACATCTACCACCTCATTCACATTCATTTTTTTAATTTAATCGTATTATTATACTATATACTACTATATTATACTATTCTATTATATCAATTATTCATTGCCTGTGTAAATTAATCTCAAAAGAACCCTTAGACATCCCTACATTACTTAAATTAATTCGACACAGATAATAACGACCAAGTGTACAGATTCATTAGGTCATGCAATTCAGCTTTCGACTTAAGTTCAGTGGACTAGAAGTCAGTACTTTTAGTATACGCGTTAAACAACGGTTAAATTCGTTTTCTTGAGGAAACACCGCGGAAGGCGGCGCGGCGACGACGGCAGCGCGGTGGCGGCTTATCCACGGGTTATATTGTTAGAGCAAGCGAGATAGCAATAGTCCCGAATTCCCGATTGCTCACATAGGTAGATACACGAAGTTTCTAGAGTCGGTTTCGTGATTTCTCCAGACAGTTTTCGACTCTATACGCGCGGTATAAAAGCCACGCTAACCGCAGTGACCGACAGTCCGGTTTTAATTTAAGTGAAGTGTCAATAGTTCTAGTGTAGATTTTAACTCGACTAGCCGGTGTCATATATTTTGATCCACATTCAACGTAGATTTCCCGTCAAGTGCCGTGTATAATTGTGTTGTGAAATCGTAAGTAAAACTCTGTTATTAATAAGTGTTTCCCTACCTATTTAATCAATTATTTTTGGTAATTTAAAAAAGGATGGGTAATTTAAGTAGGTACTGTAATTGTTTTTAGGTGCTGTGTTAATCCTAGCTAGGATTAGAACGCAACATGGACAAGCCAGGACCTAGTAAAAAACGTAAGGTTAAAGATGAAAATCGGCAGTTTCAAGAAATTTGGACTGAGAAATACTTTTTTGTATGGTCGCATAACAAAGTCGTTTGTTTAATTTGCAAGAATTCTGTTGCGATTGTAAAGGACTATGAAACGCAGCATCCTACTTTTACCAAGCTTACAGGCGAATTAAGAAAGCAAAAAATGTTGTTTTTAAAACGGGAGCGTATTGGTCAGCAAGCTATGTTTACAAAACCCATTCAAGATTCAGAAACAGCTACAGAAGTTAGTTATGAAATTTCTCGAATAATAGCAAAGCGAAGTCGCCCCTTCAATGATGGGGATTTTGTAAAAGAATGCATAGAAATTGCCGCTAAGAAAATGTGTCCAGAAGCAGCAAAAAGTTTGAGAAAATTCAACTGAATCGTATGACTATCCAAAGACGAATTACGTCTTTGTCAGGTAATATTGCGGAACAATTAAAAGAAAAAACTAAGATCATTGAATTTTTTTCATTAGCACTCGACGAATCCACTGATATTAGTCACACAGCTCAACTTCTGATATTCATATGAGGTGTTACTCAAGGTTTTGAAGTCTTAGAAGAATTATTAGGAATGTGTTCATTGAAGGGTCAAACCAGAGGAGTTGATATACTCAATGTACTTTTGGATGAGTATTCAAAAACTGATTTGGACTTATCAAAATTATCGGGAGAAAGAAAATAATAGAAGAAATTGGAATATTTCTGGCGGAAAAGCAAAGGGATGTCCCGGAACATAAAAATCCTGATTGGTTGTGTGATTTGGCTTTTTAGTTAAGATTGCAATTGAATTCTGGAAATTACAATCATTTTCCGAATTATAAGAAAATGGCTGAAAAATTCAACAAACTGCGATTAATTTCCGTCATGTAGAAAAGATAGATATTTTGATTCAATCTTTTCAAGACAGATTTTCGGAGTTTAAAAAAGTGAAACCTCTGTTGGAGATATTCAGCAATCCTTTCACGATTTCAGTTGAAAATGCGCCAGAGTCAATGCAGTTAGAAATTATCGACATTCAAAACGACCAAGATTTACGCAACAAATTCAACGAAGGAGACTTGCTGAACTTTTACCACTGCATTGATAAAAATACGTACAAATAGTTGCGCATAAACGCTCTGAAATGTGCCAGCTTATTTGGTTCTACCTATATATGTGAACAAACCTTTTCAATACTAAATAATAATAAAATAAAAATCGAAACCGCCTTGCAAATGAAAGTTTGGAAGCAGTTTTACGTGTTGCTACAAGTAAATTTAAGCCAAATATAAAAAAGATTGTAAGCACTATGCAGTACCACGCTTCAAATTAATAAATTCTTTTTCAATTTTAATACATTATTATCAATTCTTTATTGTCTTTAATTACCTATACTTCTGGCAGCCCGCCATCAGTTCATAATTTGCCCGAGTGGCCCCTAGTCTTAGTCTATGCACCACTGTTTTCTAATTTAAGAAATAGATTCTATTTTCTAACAATTATTATATAACTAAGTTTAAAAGAAGTCAAAATAATTAACTAGCTTTATTTTAATTTTCAGGTACTCCACAATTATTGTTGATGGGGGGTTTCCCCATAATAAAACATTCTTAGAAAAACATGTTACAAAATATTTTATATTAAGTACGATTACTGGCATCATTATGTAAGTACAATTAGTGGCATCATTATGCTAACATATTTTTGTTATAAATGTTATAAAAGCTTGCCATGGAATAACATACCTACAAATCCACATCTTAACTGTATACAAATTTTTAATAATTGCTTTGACCGTTCTCGTCGCCGACAACACGTCGAGATTCCCATATCATCACTAAACACCCCTGCTACAACACCTGTATATCAGAAGATGAAGACGAAGCTGCTGACTACACTCAAAATCGAGCAAAACCGCTCAATCTTTGTTCTAAGGGGGGAGGTGTTATGTCATAGGATACTATTTACTTTATATTATAAGTCCTGTACACTTTATATTGTTTATTTAATAAATTACTTTCTTAGAAGCCAAACTAATGTTATGTCATAGGATACTATTTACATTATGTTATAAGACCTGTATAGTTTATATTGTTTATTTACTTAAAAGCTAAATTACTTTCATAGAAGCCAAACGAATGTTATGTCATAGGATACTATTTACTTTAATTTCATTTAAAATTCATATTGTTTACTTCCTTAGAAGCCACACTTATTCGATTGTAATATTATATGCTAATGTTTATAATTTGCCATAAGTTAAGCATTGTACCAAGAACAGTGCTGTTCGCTTGTGTTTGCCCCCACCTCCTAGCTTCTTACACTATTTAAACCCAATCTTTCGATCCCTCAATACAATTCCATTACCAAGTTCTCTGTAACACCTACTATATTTTAAGTTTTTTTTTTATTATTTTTTTTATCCTTTTAAAAAAAAACGTTACCCCCACACTAGGATTTTCCCCTGTATCGTGGAGGCAGTTTACAAACACAAATTTCACAAGGACAAACATCCAGACCCGGAACAATCATTTGTAGGCCATACAAATACTTGCTCCGTGCGGGATTCGAACCCGCGCCCCCCAGCGCAGAAACTCATTGCTAAGCCACTGCGCCACGGAGCCGTCAAAAGTTAATTCAAAAGTTAGTTCAAAAGTATTAAATAAATTTATTTTTAAAAGAGTTTTTGTCTCTGCCACATAACAATGCTTACATAAATACTTAGCAATATGATTTTATTATTTTTCATCAATGGCCCATATAGGTCCATTGTCAGGCTATGCAAGCGGATTGATAACCGCAGTACCAGATGTTTCCTACAGAAATGATGTTGCTGCCGCCGGTGTGGGTCTTTATCGTCTGTTGTCAGCGTTACAGTTACACTGCCTTCTACCGTAAGTCGTAATATTTTTCTGGTAATTCCCAAAGTCACCTCTTACGTCACCCACGCGATGAAAATGGTCTATGGATTCTCCTATGCCATCACCACACAAATCGGCTAAAATAACATAATATGTAAAAAATATATTTTATATTAAAAAAAATAATTACCTGACAAGTTTCAGAACAATAGTATAACTTGTAACAGCCCACACACATGAGTTTTGTTATTTTTCCACAAATGTGACATAAACCACGAGTTGCATTCGTATTATTAGGCATAAATATGTTTTCATTAGACGCAGTCAAAGAGGTTGTCTCCGTCGTGTATTGATCCCGAATTAGATTGTACTGAAAGAAAATATTTTTAATTTGGTTTTCATATTATATTACAAAAGAAAAGAACATGAATACAGAAAATAATCTACCGTTCGTTCCGATGATAGGTTAAATGTTGTTGGACTCATAAAACCGCTATCTCTGGATATGGAACATCTAGTGGCATCTTGTGAATCTGTTTGTTTGCTTGTTTCATACTCATTACATATTCTTTGCATAACCCCGCTTTGCATAATATCTTGATAAATCACTGGTGGCTGACTAGAATATTTGGCACATGGATCTTCTAGTATTCTTTGAGCATCGATCCGCCTTTCTTGTATATTCCTTATTGGAGTGTTATTGTAACTACAACTTGCTTGAGTATTACAACCCGTTATATCTACTGACGGAATACTGGCTTGTACATTATGATTTATGGATTGCATTTCAGTAAGGCAAGTTGTACGCTGTTGTGTAGGAAAATGATTAGTTTTTTGTGTTAAAATTTTTGGATCAACACTTATGGTAATCTCATTTCCCGGTGGTCCAGATGAAAACACTTCGATTTTATCAACATCTTTAGATTGACTTACACATTCAGGTCTTCTTATATGATTTGAAATATTTTGCGATAGTGATTTTGAAGGCGGAATTACCCTGAGAGGCGGATGAATATTATTTATATTTTGGTTTTCTTTAATTAAACGAAGCGAATGTTTTTGCTTCTGTTTAGTCCATTCTAATAAATCAACATAAAGAGTTCTGAGATTATTATAGGAGATATCCATTCTTCCTTTAGCCATCTGAATTGTCCTAAACAAAAAGCTTTCGATAAAACATTTATTTTTTTCTTGAGGTAAAAGTATCAACTCAGATATTGATTGAGATTTATTAAAATAGGAATATTTGATGTGTAAATAATTGGTTCTTAAGCGATCGGAGTATTCGGAAGTAAGATTATCAATAGAATTGTGAAATATTTTGTAGTAGTTAGTGTAAGCTTCCATAATCGAAATCATGTTTTTTGATACGTAGTTCAACATAATTTCTATATTATTTTGGTGATTGGATGTATGACATTGGTTTAATCTTGGATTATTAAGTAAATGCATTGTTGTAGATTCCATTTCATTATTATTATGGATTTGTAATAATGAATGATTTTCGATAATGCCAGTTTTCTCTAAACCTTTATTATGTTTAGATTTTCTTTTATAATTATTATTAACTCCATTTTTTAATTTTTTATTACTATTATTTAATTTCTTGATAGAATTTATGAGTTTTTCATTTTCCTTTGAATGAGTATTTTTGCTACTTGCTTTCATATTTGTGTCTGTAGTAGAATTTTCTATGCCATGTACCTCTTGGCAATCGCTATCTTCTTCACACTCATCAAAAACTATCGTAACATTAAGTGGATTGTGAAAATTATATTTTTTCATCTCAGTGATCGTATCTAAAAATAAAAATTTATATATCATTTCAATTGCTTCAGTTATAAAATAAATACGAGTTTAAATAAAGTAACCGTGCAGTGGCGGGTTGAGAATATCCTCTACCCCATATCATTCCGTGGGTGTCGACAGAGGGAAACTGAAACAGTAGATGGACAACATCTTGTTTTTTTTAGGATCGGGTGAGAAACGAGCACACAGTCCACCTGATGGTAAGTGGTTACTGTGACTCATAGACATCTACATCTATCCTCATTCCTCAATAAAGACTCAAGACTAACGCAATTTGTGAATAAATAAATAAATAAAAAAGATGCAGATGCGTTGTCACCCGTGAGGACTAAGATGGAATGTCTCTTTGCCAGTAAAAAGGGTCTCCGGTTCTCTACACTCACCATACGAAACACAGCAGCGTTAAGCTGCTATTTTACGCTGGTTTTTTGTGAGAGCGTGGTCCTTCCCCGGTCGAGCTGACTCATTCGTGCTACGAGTACAACCATAATATAGCTGCAGCATGGCTCTACCACGTAGAAATCAACATCTTTTTGATTATTATCAAGAAGATGTTGTCAATCTACTTGATAATAAAATTGAAGTGTCTGTTTGCATTGTCAAAATATTAGCATTTTACTAAATGCATGTGAAAGTATATACGGTACTTATAACAAAAACACAATTTTAAAAAAATCAGTCTGTCTGTCTGTCTGTTTTTTCCGGCTAATATCCGAAACGGCTTGACCGATTTCGACGGGACTTTCACTGGCAGATAGCTGATGTTATAAGGAGTAACTTAGGCTACTTATATTTTAGAAAAATAATGAGGGTTCCGCGCAACATAATTAAAAAGGTAATTTACACGCGGGGGAAGTCGCGGAGAACAGCTAGTTTTATAATAAACAAGCTTATAGCACACGCGCCATCGCTTAAACAAAAAACGTGCTGATCTATGTTATGAGGCAAATACAAAAACTCTTTTAAACATAAATTTATTTAATATTTTTAAACTAACTTAAATATAGAAGTTGATACAGATAACTTGGAAATGGAATTGTATTGAGGGATGAAGGATTTGGTTTAAATAGTGTAGGAATCTGTGTGTAGTAGTGTGTAGAAATCAATAGTACCTATGACATTAACATCTATAATCTATACATGTAACTGCATCTTTTTATTATTTTGCCGTAATCAGAAAGACGCTGCCACCCATCTTCTATATATTTCTACTCCCGTTCATGAATATAGTCCCTGTCACACAATCATGAATAGAACTACATTTATAAAATTTTAACTTTAATTGAAGTAGTTTTAATGATATTTCTAAATTGAAGCCAACGCGAGCGAAGCCGCATGTAAAAATCTAGTAGAGTAATAGTTTTATTCGGCAAGTTTTTCAATTATGAAAAACCTATTGATACTTAGTTTTATACAACTATATTGAAAACTATGTGGGACATGGAAAAAAGTTTAACTAGCAATGATTATTTTTAAAACTCGTGTGTTGTTTACCTTATTATTAAACTCATAGTTTTGTAATATAATAGATTTTTAAGTAAAGATGTTAAAAGTAGATTTTGAAAAAATAATTTAGGATATGCAAGATAAAGTGTAAGGACCTTTTTGCGTAAAATTGCAAAAAAAAAAATAGTTTTGTTCGGAATTTTCTATACATAACTTTTTATTTAATCAGTTTTTGATTTCATGAAAAACTACATATTTGTCGTAGCTTAGATCACAGCTGGCAAATCTTTCTATTTGCTCGTGAAGTTTCATCGTAATCGGTTAAGATATCGAAAAGATCGATCGAAAGATTTGGTTTAAATAGTGTAGGAAGCTAGGAGGTGGGGGTAAACATAAGGAACAATATTGTTCTTGGTGTTATGGTTAACTTATGGTATAAACATTAGCATATAATATTACAATCGAATTAGTGTGGCTTCTAAGGAATTAAACAATATGATTTATAAAGTATACAGGTCTTATTACATAAAGTAAATAGTATCCTATGACATAACATTCGTTTGGCTTCCAAGAAAGTAATTGAGCTTGTAAGTAAATAAACAAAAAAACTATACAGGTCTGATAAGATAAAGTAAATAGTATCTTATGACATAACATTAGTTTGGCTTCTAAAAAAATAATTTATTAAATAAACAATATAAAGAGTACAGGACTTATAATATAAAGTAAATAGTATCTATGACATAACACTATGCTTTCACAGAATATCGGCGCAAAGTTGCAGCTTTATGCTGCTTTGTTTAGTATGGTGAGTGTAGAGATTTGGAGAACCATTATACTGGAAACGAGTCATTCCACCTTAGTCCTCACGAGGTGACATCTGCATTTTGATTCCTAATCGCGGAGAGATGTAGATGATTATCGTAAATTTTGTCCTCGTTTGTCTCTCTTATTAAAAAACACATTTGATATAACTGCATATTCTTTACAATACAAAGAAAATTCAGCAAAATATGCGTGATGTTTATATCGTTTCAACTAGAATCAGTTTTTTTTAGTATAAACTAGAAATTAGTTATTTATCAGTAGCGATATGAGAGTACATACCTTCGGTTACTGTCTGCGTACTCATTTTAATGATTAATTATTATTTCGACCTGAAAAGAAAAATAATGCTATTGTAAATATAAGTGTTTCATAACACATATATAATGTACACACACACACACACACACACACACACTCATATACGCAGACGTTGTTCTACCCTTTCCGACGACCCTTCCCATAAAAAATCCTTAAATTCGCAATAAAAAAATGTTAAAGGTCACTTATCGGGATAAAAAGTATCCTATCTCTCAAGTTGGACCAAACTGCACACAGTGTGCAAAATTTCATTGAAATCAGTTCTGTAGTTTAAGAGTTCATCGCGGACAAACAATGTGACACGTAATTTTTATATATAAAGATTAACGTCATTTATGCTATAGAACTTACAAAATATTTTTTATATTTTACGATAAAAAGATCTTATATTAAATTAAAATATACCTAGTCAGGTCATAAATTCTGTCACATGTTTAATATAAAATAATTGAAACAAGTTTATTCATTATGTAACCATTTATATACCAAAATGAACTTAACAAAACATAGATTCTTATGACACTGAAGTTTATTCAAAATCACCTCGAATTTATTTAATTAATAATAAATTTTCAGTAAAAGTTAAGAATGTCAACATCAGGAAAGCATCTAATAAAATTGCCTTCAGCCTTTCCTCTTATCTATTGTTCCTTGAACACCGTCATTGCCACTCTTACCTATTACTCTATGCTTATCAGTACTATTGTGTTATACTTCTTTGTTCATAACTACCACGCTATTTTGAATCATCAATAAAACACATTCCTTAATTTTGTTACTATCCGGAGACACTGTAGTGTCTCACGCCAAGTACACGTTCAATATATATGTCTGTAAACGTATAGGCGTGAGGCTACAATTTATACATGTACGAAGTATAGAGGGTATAGTACAGAGACTGATTTTGTAGTTAGGAATAATAATTAATTCGTTTACACGAATTAATTATCCAATGAGTCGAGGATAATATAGTAACGGAATGCGACAAGCACACCGTTCCACGTCAGAGCCAAGACTGTCGTATTATATATTAGTCTATGAGACTGTCTTAACGGCGGCCGCTCTGTCCGTTTTATACAAGCAGGACGGGTGGCATCGCAGGTGCAATGCTGCAAGTGTGCGGTACACGTGTCGTTTACAAGAATTCTGTCTAGCTAGACCGACGCCACCGCACCTACAACGATGCAGGTGCCGTCATACACATATTCTCGAAACAGATGTCAACATAACCTCACCTAATTTTTAACTTTATATATTTAATTATTAACGAAACGTCAACACTTTATACAGTCATTTATCATTTTGTTTATCAATTGTTTCCATATAACACTAAAAAGATTCCATTATGGAGTGTAGAGTAGAAGGAGGACCATCTCTAAATATGAAAAGTGTCCCTAAAAACGCGTCCAATAAGGGTGGCGCTGCACTAGCATAGAATAAATTTAAAAAAGCGCCAAAATTAATTAGAATAAGATGGAGAAATAAACAAGGAACGACCAATCTGCTAGGTTTTGTACTGCGTAAATAGTTGAGGTTTTGTATACTGGCATTTTACTAACTACTCTAGTCATGAAATTTTTTAAATATTTGAATTCAGCTGACTTCACTCCGTCCACAACAGCTATATTCATATCGTAGTTTTTCAGACGCCAGTGCTATTGTGGTAGGTTTTGGAACCTCTATTTTCAGCATATAGTGGGACACTTTTTCAACTTTCGCACCTTATAAGATGGTTCTCCTTCTACTCTACACTCCATAGATTCCACAAAAGATTTATGGAGTCTAGAGTACAAGGTGGACCATCTCTATATATGAAAAGTGTCCCTAAAAACACGTCCAATAAGGGCAGTAGCATAGGATAAATTAAAAAAAAAGCGCCAAAATTAATTAGAAATAGATGGAGAAATAAACAAGAACCGACCAATTTGCTAAGTTTTGTACTACGTAAATAGTTGAGGTTTTGTATACTGGCATTTTAAAATAAATAATTAATTTTAAAATAAAATATATAATAAAGTCCATTAAATATAATGTAAAATTGGATGTCTGCGAGGTGAAAAGGAATAACGCAGTATAATTGAAGACGTATTCGTTAACACATATTTTCTTAATCACTATAAATTATTGATTTACGTAATCTTATATTTTTACGTGCCCTAATTACGTGCCTTAGTATTTTACTACCGACGAGTACTTATATGAGAGGATGTCATCTTTCAATTTTGTATATGTAGCAATCTGTTCATACTAAACAAATGGTTTATAATATTAATATAAACCATTTGTTTATATTTATTTTTTGTATATAAGTAGCTTGGGTTCGAGTCTCGCACGCACCAATGAAATTGTTAAATTGCAATTTTAGGTGCTGATTCTTCAAGTGTTTCGTGGTGAAGGAAAACATTGTGGAGAAACCTACGTGTTTAAGGAATTAAATATTTCGAGGGCATGTTAAGTCCTCTAGCAAGTACTGGGGCAGCTAGGCGGGCTAATAGGTAACTGCTACATAACACTCCAAGAGGTTGGAGTTAGCCTGTGTTCATTTTTGGGACGTTAAAGCAAACTAACTAATATTTTTGTAATTGTACTAAAACTAACTATAAACTAATTAACAATGATACAGCAAAGGTTATGAATATGTAGTTTTAAAGCAGAATTTTTAATGATAATCTTTACTTTTTTAATTTTTAAATAATATTAAAAGATCCTATTTAAAACTCAAGCTTCAATCATGATTTTATTAAAAATAAGAATAATAAAAAAATAATGTCAGAAACATATTCAATGGTGAATTTGCTTCTAATAAAAATAAGTAAGTAGGTAGATAGTTAGTTTTCTATGAATACAATAAATTAATTCATAATGGAACATTCGGATACTTCATTAAAAATAGAAATAGTTTTATTACACGTGTGTAATGTATATTAGTATCTACATATAATATTCATTGGATAATCCTATATTCTTTTATTTGTTTATGTACACACTGATACTATACCAAACGAAAAAACTTGATACTCAATATAATTTGCAAATAGACAGAAAATAAATTAAAAACCACTATAACCTTAAACACATAATATAAAAAAAAACAATCAAGTCCGGGCTTAGTGGCGCGCCTTGTAAAAGAGAATATATAAACAAAATATAAATAAACAAATGTAAGTACATAATATAAAAATTGGGTAGGTACTTACATAAAATAGTTTAGAACGCTGGGCCGAAAAAATTACTAGTGCAATAGATAACTAAAAAATAATATATTACAGATAATATTTTTATGTGCTTGGTTTAATTTTTGAATGTTCAAAACTAATTAGGCAACTCACAAGCACCAATCGAACACTTCACTACAGTTGATTTTATTAAGCTACACTACGAACACGATCCACAACCTTCCTCAAGCAGAACTAAGGGAATACTAAGTTCTAGGCGTGTGTATCTCTTTACGGAAACGACTCACTGATACGAATCACTGAAGTGACACAAAAGATTGGTTCAGTAACAACGTTTCAAATGTATCATTTGTATCTGGAACAGTGAAACATTACTTTGCTCTTTGCTCATTTCGCGCGACGCGTCGCTTGCGAGGCGACTGAGCCACGAGCGAGAGAGAGAGACTGAGACAATGATTAACTTAACTATTGAGTCACGAGTGGCGAGTGAGCGGGCGAAATAATTATAATTCACATAAGTCAGATAGAGATAACAAATAAGAAGTGTATCACTCAACTCGTACGGATTTTCGCTGACGTTATTCATGCAAGTAAAAATTACCAATAAGGCGCTTATGTGTCAAATACTATACGGTCGTTTTTTGTATGTAACTATGTATATGTCATTTTACGTTGATGCGGCACTTGTCAAATTGTTTATATTCATTAGCGCCTGTTTACGAAAACATACTGAGTTATGTTTAGGATTTATTTGAGTAGTGATTATTTGACTTTACTTTCTTCCTTTTCATCATAAAGTTTAGAGTTATGATACTTTACGAGTAAATTCTGTGTACATAGACATTGCTGTTTTGTGTAAATGGACATTTTTGTAAATAATGAATTGACATAGTGACATTTTTGTTAAAGTATGAAGGAGAATCGATTTTATATACAATCTTATTACGGTACACAATAAATAATCTAAGCACTTATATTATTCAGCATTTTTGCAACATAACATTTCACGGATCAGTCAATAATAAACGCCCGCGACGAAACTTAATGTATTCGGAACATTCTTTCTTTTATATCTTTTGGAGTCGATGATACAAATGAGCCAAATGAAACATATCAGTGTTTCGGAACATTCCAGTGATCAAGATGCAAATGTTCCAATCCCAAAAATGATACACTTTGCCCACCTCCACTAAGTTCAGATTCAGTTCAAGTTAAGCTAATGACTTGTGAGCCGACTGAGCGTAAATATTAAAAAAAAACACAAGCTTGCAAGCTTGCATGAACAAACCATTGATATACAAAAAAATTTTTGTCTATCAATGGAGCAAACTCACTATATTAGTAATTTTATGAGTTTAAATTTTGTAAGTATAACATTTATTGAAGAATTATTAAAAACAATTATGTTTTAAGACATTAGGTAGGTATATTTATGAACATTATTAATAAATGACTAGTGATTTTTGGATCTCACCGAAAGCGCTACCTACCGGTTTCAATTGTGAATATAAATCATCCAGGGACCCAATTAAAACACACACACACAAAACATTTCATCAAAGTTAGTTGAGCCATTTTCGAGTTTTATGGAGAATTAGTTTAATGCCTCTTTTTTTGTTTATACTTGACAGACGCCTAGTATTCCACCTTGTCGGGTTTTTTAATTTTTGTCACTCCTGCTGATGAAGTAGAAGTTTTCTTTTTGTCGTGTTGTCCTTAGTAATAAGTTGGTACCGGTATTGGGGTTGGTGACCCGTTTTACACTCCTTCGGCGTTTTTGTTGATTTATAAGAAAATATTCTTTATATAATTAATAGTTGGTACGTTTGTTAGTGATCATATGACTTTTGAAAGACTTTTATTTTTTTATGTGATAGGATGACAAACGAACACACAGTCCACCTGATGGTAAGTGGTTGCTGTGGCCCATAGACATCTACATTTATCCTCAATAAAGAATCAGAATGCAGATGCGTTGTCACCTGTGAGGACTAAGATGGAATGCCTCTTTTCCAGTAAAATGGGTTTCTGGTTCTCGACACTCAGTAGTGTAGTTGTACCACTTCCAGACCACCTGAGTCAGACGTGGTTCAATGACGTTCGTCGACACCCGATCCTAAAAAAAAAAGAAAAAAAAAAGGTTTTAGGCATGCTCTGATCACGAATCCGCGGTCCATTTTTGTGTAGAATGCACGGTTCCGGAGATGTGTAGATCAATTAGCTAATATCTAATTGATATCCGGTAAGGGCCTCCACCGTCATTAGCGTCCCATTGTTCCTATTTCTATTGTTCTATTATTCATTAATCACCTTCATTGCAGCGTGTGCGTCGACTATATCAGTGCTATTGTATTATACTTCTTTGTTCCTAATTATACAACGCTAATCTGAATCATCAATAAAACACATTACATAATTTTGTTACAATTTTTATTTATAAAATACAAAATCTTATTAATTATTATCTATGAAATAGGAGCGAAACATCTCATTCACTAACATATCGTTGTACAATGTGTTCCTTGTAAATATACTCGTAAAACTATGTATTGAACATCCTTGAAACTTATATAGCAAATACATTAAGCAATATTCGCCACAAACTGAAGTCCACTCATTCTGAATCCTATCAACATTCCAGTTCCATCTTTTACAATTCCTTTTTAAAAACTCTAGATGATATCGTACAGGTGATCGTCCATATGAATCAAAATATTGACCGACGTCATTCGTATCGATATATAAAGCTACCCAATGTGACCCTGGTTTATCATCTGTATCCAAATTACATATTATATACGTTGGTACGTGGGTATACATAGGCAGTCTATTAGCTGCATAAACATTATTTTCTAGACTGCGGTAAATCTTTTTCAGATGTTGTTGTACATCTAGTGTATCCATGATATTACTGCTATTAGTAGATTACTACAGTACCAATCTACTCAATGAATAACATAGGAATGGTCAATTATAGTGATTTCTAAATATTAAATTGCATTTTTGTGTTATACAAATCGTACTTGAGTCATTGATCACCAAACAAAACACAATACGAAGAAATGTTGAGATAGGCAACGGAAATGTGAGATAAACTGATATGTTTCTAAATATTAAATTGCATTTTTGTGTTATACAAATCGTACTTGAGTCATTGATCACCAAACAAAACACAATACGAAGAAATGTTGAGATAGGCAACGGAAATGTGAGATAAACTGGTTGACGCATAAAGTAATTATCAACTCATTACGGAAATACTTTAGATTAGAATTTTTACGTACTGGTGGTATATAAGACCCACAGACGCAGTCATCGAGTTAGTGTACGGTCGTTTGGCTACAGTGGATCTATCAATAGTACATTTGTGTTACTTCAATACACCAAAGGCTATGGATGTAAGTGTTTATTCTATTGACTAAATTACTTTTTTTCTGTTATTTTCATGTGTGTGTATTATTTTATTTAAATATTGTGTATGTATATGATTAAGCCGTGGTAACTCAGATGGTTAGCGCTAGCTGTAAATTTCACAGTACGCGACCCGGGTTCGATCCCCGCCAGCACCAATTAAATTGTTAATCGCAATTTTAAGTGCTTATTACCACGTGCTTGGTGGTGAAGGAAAACATCGTGAGGAAACCTGCATGTCTGAGAAAATTTCGAAGGCATGTGAAGTTCGCCAACACACATTGAGGGAGCGCGGCGGACATTTCCTTGCTCTAAAACCCTCTCAGAAATGAGAGGAGGTCTATGTTCAGCAGTGGACTTTAATAGGCTGTAACTTTAACTTTTTTAACTTTTATGATTAAGTGTTAACAAATTGATATTAACATGATAACTGTGTTGTTGCAGAAATCATTGAGCTTCGATGAAGATACCTATAAACAGTATTACTACTCGCCACTCTCCCCTCAAGAAGAGAGTGATGACCTCGTCATTAATAATAACACATGCGATGGTGGAAAAAGAAAATCGCAATCGATTGATCATTTTTTTGAAGCTGAATCAAAAATAAAAAAGAGGAAGCTGTTATCATCAACCGTAGCACGAGCCGCTAGAGATGGTGTATCATACATTTCTACTAATTCTGACGACGGAGACCAAGCGACGCATCTCATCAAAATTGAAATGTACGATATGAAGAAGCTATCCAAGATTCCAACTACTGATCATTGGAAACATGCTTCCACGAGAATTAAATATTACGTAAAGACTAATAAGGATAGCATCTACGACAACACAAACGCCCTCGTATACAATATAACAAAGACAATAGCAGAAAGTGAAAAAGTTAAAAAATACTTTTTTAACAATGACAGTCATTAGCTGATCATTAGTGAATGTGATTCTGTTTACTTCAATTACAGGAAGACAAGAGCGGAAGGAAGAGATGAGTGTGGCATACGTGTACAAAACACATAATTGAATAACAAAACTACAACACTGAGTGGAGAAGAAAACGAGAAGAGTATGCAGTACTCAAGAGCTGAATATCCATTCTTCAGTTAAAAATCTAGCCGTTTGCTTAGTTTCGAAAAATGGCCTCTAGTTATGCGACAGAAACCTGAAGATCTTGCAGAAGCTGGTTTCTTTTATACTGGCCATGCAGACGGGACCATGTGTTTCCATTGTGGTGGTGGTTTAAAAGATTGGGAAGATGATGATGATCCTTGGCAGCAGCATGTTCAGTGGTTTAGTCAGTGTGCTTATGTAAAATTTCAACTCGAACAGTGTTTTGTATTAGATTAAATAGAAGATTTATAAAGAAATAAAAAAAAATATATTGCATACAATTTGTTTTATTTAATTTTATAACGTTTCACATAGTTACATACACACAAAATGCATTACACATAACACATAAAATCTAACACACAACACATATTATAACCTTAACTACTATAGTCTACAGTAACATTTCTGTTTTTATCTATCTCAATAATATTATCAAACTCAGCATAAACTATACAGTTAATTGTTTGTATTAATGAGGATTCAAATCGTACTTCTATTCTTACACTACCATGCTTTATGAGATTCCAATGAGTTGATGAGTTAGCTGATAAATCAGGAGTTAAGTCAAATGCTAATAGACAGTAACCTTTGCCATACTGTTCACAAGAGATTCCATTTCCTTCATTAAGAAAGTGAATACCAGTTCCCGAGAATAGAGTATGATATGCTGATGTAAATATGCTATTATTAAAAGATGGTTGCAAAGCTTTTGAAGGTATTTGTTGACCA